GAAAAGAACACTTCGCAACTTAGACATCCGGGCAAGGGCATGACAAGAAACCAAACCTAGGCTATGTTTCCTTGTATGCATATATTAATTCTGTTTCTCTGGAGAACCCTGGCTAATGCAACCAATTTGGAAAAGAGCTTGACATTTATCTAAAAAATTAAATATGTACCTATCTATGCATACACCTACACTTATATGATCCAGCTAGTCTACTGGTAGTACCCAAGATAAATGAAAGCCTGTGTTCATACAACTTGTACATGAAAGTTTATGTTCCTTCATTTGTAGTAGCCTTAACTGGAAGCATTCCAAATGTCAATCAACAGGTGAATGGACAAAGTGTGGTATAGTCATGTAGAGGAATATTACTCTGCAAATAAACAGAAAGAAATATTAATAAACACATGGACTAATCTGAAAATAATTATACTAAATGAAAGAAGGCAGACAAAAAGAGCACATGCTGTATGATTTCATCTATATAAAATCTCAACAAACTCTAGAAAAATTATCATGACATAAAACAGATTAGTGGTTGCCTGGAGAAGGTAGATAGGGAGGAAGGGATTTAAAAAGTGCACAAGTAAATTTGCAGGAGTCATTCATCTGTTTGGTATCTTGATTATGGTCATGTTTTCACAGATGCACACTTTGGTTATAATTCATGAAATTGGGCCCGACGCGGTGGCTCACACCTGTAATCCCAGCACTTTGGGAGGCCTAGGCGGGTGGATCACAAGGTCAAGAGATCGAGACCATCCCGGTCAACATGGTGAAACCCCGTCTCTACTAAAAATACAAAAAATTAGCTGGGCATGGTGGCACGTGCCTGTAATCCCAGCTACTCAGGAGGCTGAGGCAGGAGAATTGCCTGAACCCAGGAGACAGAGGTTGCGGTGAGCCGAGATTGCACCATTGCACTCCAGCCTGGGTAACAAGAGCAAAACTCTGTCAAAAAAAAAAAAAAAATTATCAAATTGTATAATTTAAAGACGTGCATTTAGTGTATGTCATTATTTCTCAATAAAGTGATTTTACAAACACATAAAATGAAAAGACAAGCCATAAATTGAAAAATATTTGTAACACATATAATTGAAAAAAAAAAATTGTTTAGAACATATAAAAACTCTTAAAAGTCAATAAGAAAATTCCATTTGTATATGTACCTTAGAGAAACTCTTATAACAAATTATAGACATGAATAGATGCATGGTTTTTGACAGCAAAAACTTGAAAATAACTCAAATGTCCATTGTCAATAGAATAATTTGTGACATGATCACATGATGGAATACTTCACAGCAATACAATTAGTGAACTGTGGCTACAGAGAGCACCTGGTTGAATTTCAGGAACATACAGTTGAGTTAAAAGAAAGCAAGTTGGCTGGGCGCAGTGGCTCATGCCTGTTATCCCAGCACTTTGGGAGGCCTAGGCAGGCAGATTACGACGTCTGGAGCTCAAGACCATCCTGGACAACATGGTGAAACCCCATCTCTACTAAAAATACAAAAGTTAGCCCAGCATGGTAGCATGAGCCTGTACCAGCTACTCAGCTATTCAGGAGGCTGAGGCAAAAGAAACACTTGAACCCAGGAAGCGGAGGTTTCAATGAGCGGAGATTGCTTCACTGCACTCTGGCCTGGGCGACAGAGCGAGATTCTGTCTCAAAATAAATTAAAAAAGAAAAAAAAAAGAAAAAACTCTTAGAATGATAAATACAGTATGATTCCACTTACTAAAAGTTAAAAAATACAAAATGTTTACTACTATGAAACAAAGACAGTGATAAATACAAGGTAAGCATTGTGGTTGATGATGGTGGGGAGGGAAGACAGTGTAATCAGACAGGGATCCATGCAGTACTTCAAGGATAACAATACTATTCTGTTCCTTCAACCATATAAGGGTTCAAAAGTATACATTGCATTATTAGTTTTTACACCTTCATACTTTTTTTTTTTTGAGATGGAGCTTCACTCTGTCACCCAGGCTGGGTTGTGGTGGTGGGATCTCGGCTCACTGCAACCTCCGCCTCCTGGGTTCAAGTGATACTCCTTCCTCAGCCTCCTGAGCAGCTGGGACTACAGGCACACACCACCACGCCTGGCTAACTTTTTATGTTTTTACTGTGTTAGCCAGGACTGTCTTGATCTCCTGACTTCATGATCTGCCCACCTTGGTCTCTCAAAGTGCTGGGATTACAGATGTGAGCCATGGCTCTCGGCACACCTTCACATTTTTAATAAATATTTTTACCTAATTCAATTACAAATAAAGAAAAGATAAGCATTAGCCCACTAGTGACAAGCCAGGAACAGCAAAGGAGGGCATCCAGCACTTAATTTGTCTGGGATGGGATGAGAGCTGGGATTTGTCCCAACTCTGAGTATTCTGAGGTGATCCTGATGGGGGAACTCACTCAATAAACAGAATCTCAGTCTCCATGAACAGCAGACCCAATGTTGTTTTTCTCCCCTAGTGAATCACATCTATTCTAAATGGTTCATCAATCAAGCTTCAAGTGAGTAGATTTTCCCAGCAGCTTAATGGAGATTTAAGTGTAAAGAACTTTATAGCTTCATCCCAAATCTTCAGCGGGTTCCTTGCTTTCCATATTGACAGGCAGATCCTGGAAGAATTGCTGCAGATGGTATAGGGGAGGGCCTCTATTCAGGTAAGATGCTATGGTAAGGGCAGTTAAGGAGGAAGGGTGACATTAGGAGAGAAAGATAGGCTGGGCATAGTGGCTCACGCCTGCAATCCCAGCACTTTGGGAGACCGAAGTGGGTGAATCACCTGAGGTCAGGAGTTCAAGACCAGCTTGACCAACATGGAGAAACTCAGTCTCTACTAAAAATAAAAAATTAGCCAGGCATGGCGGCACATGCCTGTAATCCTAGTCAGTCAGGAAGCTGAGGCAGGAGAATCACTTGAAACAGGGAGATGGAAGCTGTGGGGAGCTAAGATCACACCATTGCACTCCAGCCTGGGCCACAAGAGCAAAACACCAACAACAACAAAAAAAAAAAAAAAGGAGAAGAAGAAGAAGAGAAAGATATTAAGATATTGTGATTTGTTTAGAAGCTCCTAGTCTCTGCCTAACCCTGAGGGTCTATGTTTTATGTAGTTTTAGAAGTGGAGATGCATCTAAACACATTTTACTTATTTAATTTTTATTAGGGCTAGTTAGACTTTTCTTCCTCTTCTGAGGCTTCATATAACATCAGCTGCAAGGCTTGCTGCCTCACTGCTTCCCCCAACACCCATATTCAACCAACCCTGGACTCCCTGGGGCCACCTGCACAGAAGCATATGCCTCTCAGATAATGGAAATTTTATTCTAAATGTTTATTTTAGACTCAGAAAGATTCACTCTTTTATGCCTGTGTGGTTGATGTGTCTGCTCTGATCTGTGGTTTTTGCACAGCTGAAGTGTCACACTGTCCCTCTCTCTGCCTTCAAGCAGGACTAAATTACCTTCCCGTATTTCTCTCTCTCTTTTTTTTTTTGAGATAGAGTCTCGCTCTGTCACCCACGCTAGAGTGCAGTGGTGCTATTTCAGCTCACTGCAATCTCCGCCTCTCGAGTTCAAGCGATTTTCATGCCTCAGCCTCCCAAGTAGCTGGGACTAGAGCTGTGCACCACCATACCTGGCTAACTTCTTTTTTCTTTTTCTTTCCTTTTTTTTTTTTTTTTTTTTTTAAGTAGAGACAGGATTTCTCTATGTTGGTGAGGCTAGTCTTGAACTCCTGGCCTCCAGTGATACGCCAGCCCTGTCCTCCCAAAGTGCTGGGATTACAGAGGCATGAGCCACAGTGCCTGGCCTACCTTACCCCATTTCTGATGGCTCGTTTCATCTCCAGATAACGTATCAGAGGCCTGGTGGGTGTTACAATGAAAGAAAGGGGAGGAATGTAGTCAATGTGAAAACACATGGGCCCTGCCATTGAGAAGGCCTCAAAGAAATAGCAAACATTCCAAGGCAGGGACAATGGTTCCCAGAAGGCCACCTGGAGCTGAAGGGAGAGGCTGTAGCCTCTATATTGCTCCTATTCCCAAGTCCCCTCAGGTTTCTAAAGATATCAGATGCCTCTGTCTCTAATTTCCTCTGGATCAGTGGTTTGAGCTTTGGCTATGAGCCTAAGCCCTGGGCTGACTGCTGGATCCTCTGGGAATAGATTTTCTTTTTCCTCTACTCTTTCCCAGTGGACTATCCCTGCCTTGTACTCATATTTCCACTGAGACTGAGCAGCCTTAGTCATGTTGCAGAAACAAAGAACTGACACGAGTCTAGAGAAATTTGTGTGCAGATTTGTGTGGGCTTTGGATAGCCAGAGCCTACTAGAGACTAGTCTGATATCTGACTTGGTGCCATGACTAATCTTCCTTCTCTGTCTCCCTATCTTCTAGTCACTAGAAACACATACTTTGTTTGTTTCTATGTTGGAATGAGCAGGACATTTGAATTCTCATTGATTTCCCAGTGATTTTCTAACAATGTCCCACCTTCTGTCCCCAGTTGCATCATCAGTGAAAAGGGTGGTTGCTGGGCCAGGTGCAGTGGCTCACGCCTGTAATCCTAGCACTTTGGAGGCCAAGGCGGGTGGATCACCTGAGGTTGGGAGTTCAAGACCAGCCTGACCAACATGGTGAAACCCCGTCTTTAAAAATAATAATAAATAAAAAAGAAAAAAAGAAAAGGGTGGTTGTTGTACTGACCTTTCCCAGAGTGTACATGAAGGCCTGCTGGCTAACAGACAATGATATGCTTTGAAAGGCTCCTGAGCTCTGTGAGAAAATTCTTGAACAGTTGAGAGTGCTACCATTTTGTCACTGCCCTAAGGATGCAGATGATGCTAGAAGCACATTGGCCAAATCTGAACGATGAAAGCCAATTACAAACTTGAAAATGAAAACAGACCCCAGATGCAAGGAGATGAGACAGTTAGATTTACTTCCTCTTTTCTAATTTGAGAGGTTTCACGTTTAAGAAAATCAGTGTTAGGGTTGCAGGAGACCTAAACAGAGTCACCATGAAGCTGGGCTGTGTCCTCATGGCTGGGGCCCTCTACCTTTCCCTTGTTGTGCTCTGGGCAGCCCAGACGCTACTGGGTAAGTACAATATCTGAATATTGGTGTGGGAATGGGGCTATGCTTAACTTTGGAGAAAGGATCTGAAGGAAAGAAACATGGCCTAATTCTGACCCTCCGCAGAAGCAGTGTTCAGGTGGAATAATAAGAAGGGTGGGTATAAGAAAGTTTGGTGTGCAGGATTGAATGACTTTCTGAATATAAAAATCTTCAAGCCTTTTCCATCCTGAAAGTCCCCTCTGACCATGATGTCCTCTCTAGCTTTAATCTCAACTCTTTCATTTCACTTATGGGACAAGTTTTCTTGAAAGAATAGTCTGCACTTGCCATCTCCACTTCCTCACCTCTCATTCACTCCTCAATGCTTGCAGCCTGACTGCCACTGGAATTGGTTTCGTCTAGGGCACAATGACCTCCGCATTGACTGGGTTTTTGCATACTTTTCAGTTCATATACTGCCGGACTTCTCTGCTGCCCGGTGCTCTGTTGATCACTTTTCCTTCTCACACTCTCTATCACCCTGGCTTCCATGGCACCCTTTTCTCCTCTTACTACATGGACTTCTCTTGATTCCTTAATAGCTTCCCTTCTCTTCCCCTTAACCAGAAACCAGTGTTTCTATAGTTATGGTGTTGCCTCTGTACCCCTCTTTCTTTACACAATCTCCTTCATGAGCTTATTTGTCTATATAATTTTTGCTACTATAACTCTGTATTTAAGAGTCCCAAATCATATCCTCAATTCTAGCCATCCCTTTGAGCTTCATATTCAATCATCAAGCTTCATACCAGACATATCTACCTACATATCTCACAGGTGTCTCTGCACCACGTGACCACAACTCAACTTATCTGTCCTTCTGGCCTCTGCCTCTTCAAATTCATTTTCCACGATTCCTGATCTCAGCTAATGACACCAGCAACTACCCTTACAATGCCAGTAACCTGAGAAACACCTCAGACTCCTCCTGTTCTTCAGTCTCTGAGTCTGATCAATCATTATGTTTGGCAAGTTTTACCTCCTAAATTGTTTGTAGAAGCAGTCCCTTCCCTGGAACATCACCAATGTCTTAGGACAAGCCCTCGTCCTCTATCATTTGGGCTAGTCCATTATTTTCCTAACTCATCTCCTTGTTCTAACCGTGTGTTCCTGAAATGAATTCTGTACCCTGCAGACAGAGTAATTTCTAAAATTCATGTTAACCAGCCCAAAGTCCTTATCATGGTACAAAAAGCCAAGCAGAACCTGCTATCGGTTAAACTTTTCCTACCTTCTGAGCCTTGTAATTTATGCTCTAATAAATCCCAATCCATTCATATTTACATATTCACACACCAGACTCTTGCCTGTCTCCAAGGCTTTGCTTATGCCACCATCTCACCTAAAATCAGCTCTTTCCATGACCCTCTATTCGCCTCCTCCTTGCAAACGTGTAGGTTTCCCTAAAGACTCAGCTTAAGTGGTATCTTCTCCAGGAAGCTTTTCTTGAATGCCCCTTTCTGCACCAACGGCTGCTTGTGATATACTTTTCTTATTATAATGTTTTCCTACTTATGCTGATATTTTAATCTACCTATGTCTTCCACTAAATTGAGAACTATTTGTGGGTAGGGACAATGTTTCCTTGGTTTTGTCTTGTGACAAAACTGCAGACTTGAAATCAGATACTCCGGTTTCAAGCCTGTCTTCTGTTTACCAGCTGTATGTCACCTTAGGAAAACACTTTTTATATCTCTGGTTCAGTTTTCTCATTTGTAGAATAAAAATAATAATACTTACCACCTAAGATTTGTTGAGTGAGTTCCTGGTAACCCAACAAGATTTTATTTTAGTTTATTTTATTTTTTGAGACAGGGTCTCTGCCACCCAGGCTGGAGTGCAGTGGTGCAATCACTGCTCACTGCAACCTTGACCTCTTGGGCTCAAGCAGTTGTCCTATCTCAGCCTCCCAAGTAGCTGGGACCACAGACAAGTGCCACTATGTCTAGCCAATTTTTAAAAAATTATTTGTTGAGACAGGGTCTCTCTATGTTCCCCAGGCTGGTCTTACACTCCTGGGCTCAAGGGATCCTCCCACCTCAGCCTTCCAAAGTGCTGTGATTATAAGGTTGAGCCACTGTGCCTGGACAAGATTTTATTTTTAAAAAGAAAAAATGGAGAGGAGGTAGAGTACAGTTGAGTGACAGTGGAGGAACTGAAAAGAGGTAGCATTACAGTGAAGGGAGCTGAGAGAGGATGGAAAGAAAACACCTGGTACTGATGTGATGAGCATTAGGAAGTAAGGGAGGGGCCTTGGTAAGGGACATTACAAAATCAAAGAACACTGGGCTACTGGGAGTGGGAGAGAATAAAGGCAAGTGGGGCACAAAATGACAGTCGATGGAGTGAAGAAGTAGGCACATGTGACTGGTCATGAGGCTGGAGGAGGGGAGAAGAGCTAGGGAGATAAAGAGCAGTCACAGAGATGGGAAAAAATGCCACTTCCCTTTCCTTCACTACCATGAAGGGAAGAGAGGTTGAGGAGACGTGGTGAGAAATGGATAACTCTAAATTTCAATCAGAAATTGAAAAGAATTGTTTCATAGTTACCAGTATGGGCCGGGAGGAGTGGGGTAGGGGTAGAGGAAAAGACAGAAAGAGTGCTGTGCCACTGCTAGGGAAAATTCAAAGGGGCAGAGGACACTGAAGTAGAGATGGCCGAAAAGTGAAGACCTGCATGAGGGAGGAAGACACGAGAGACACTGCTGGGTACTGAAAGCTCTTTGATGGTTAACATATTCAAGGCTGAGCCAAGTGAAATTTGGGAAAATCAGAATACGAAAGAGAGTCCCTGAGGAAGGTCTGAGAACTGAAGCAGATCTTATCTGCATAGTGAAGTAAAAAGAACACTGATTTTGGACTCAGACACACCTGCCTTTCCTGCTCCATTGCTTAGTCTCTTTTTAAGCACTGGGTACATTAATTTTGTATTCTAAGCGTGTTTCTTTAAGATTATAAAATGAGGATAAAGTCACATACCTGGAAAGTTCGTGAAGATGAAATAAGATACTGCACATAAGGGCTAGCAGGGTCTGGCACCCAGGGAACATTAGAATCTGACGTCTCCCTTTCCTTCCTGTCCTATCCCTCCCTCCTTCGGGTTACCATTGTCTTTGCTCCTGGTTTCCAGTACCAGCAGCTGGATGTCATGCCGGTGAGTTCACCATTCTTTCATTCTCTCCCCTTCCTCTTCTCCAAATCACAGTGCATTTGCTGAGAGCACCTGGATGACAGTGAATCAAGGTCAAAGCTATCCCCCTGAGACACTCACAGGGGTCTTTCTAAAAAAAAAAAAAAGCTTTTGATGTCTTCCTAGTCTCATTCTAAAAAGGATGATTCTCCCGGGAGATGGAGGAACCCTGTCCTCCTTCTCCAAGTTGCGGCATCATGTTCTGGTTCTTCCTGGGCCATCCCCTCTTCAGCTGCCAGTTTCAAGACGCTGCAGTGTGAGGGGCCTGTCCACACCGAAGAGAGCAGCTGCCACATGGAGGATGACTTGACTGACCCAAGGGAAGATGGCTTCCAGATCAAGGGCTACACTTTCAGTGAACCCTTCCACTTGATTGTATCCTATGGTGAGATCCTGGGAAGGCCTGAGCAGTGCCCCAAACCCCTTCTTTCAGCCCCAGAGCCCACCCAGGAAGGTGTCCTCCAGGAAACTGGCCACAGAATGACGTGCTTTTTTCCCAGTCTTCAGCCCACAGAAACCAGGGCACTCTCAGTCCTAGGCCCTAGGGAAGTTGTCCCATACTCCCAACTAGGGGTGAGAGTTTACCTGAACCCTCAGAGAAAGCTTAGGGAAATCTGTTGTAGGCACCCCTGGGGGTAGCTCCCAAGGAGGTCCTCGGTGACACGCAGCTCTTTCTCTGGACCATAGACTGGCTGATCCTCCAAGGTCCAACCAAGCCAGTATTTGAAGGGGACCCGCTAGTTCTGCGCTGCCAGGCTTGGCAAGACTGGCCACTGACTCAGGTGACCTTCTACCGAGATGGCTCAGCTCTGGGTCCTCCTGGGCCTAACAGGGAATTCTCCATTGCCGTGGTACAAGAGGCAGACAGCGGGCACTACCACTGCAGTGGCATCTTCCAGAGCCCTGGTCTTGGGAGCCCAGAAACAGCATCTGCCGTGGCTATCACAGTCCAAGGTAAGAGCTAGAAGCAGCATCATCATGGTGGGGGAGGGGAAGGAGAAACAGGGAGCCCAATTTGTCTTCCTTTAGCTGGGAAGTGACAAGATCATCAAAAGTTTATGGAGCAGGTTGCTGGCAAATGCCCAACTTGGGCTTCAAAAGGGATGAGACCTCAACATCGCCTTTTCAAGTCATCCAGCCCCTTTCAGAGTCCAGCATGGTTCCTACCACCCACATCTATGCTTCCCAGCGTTCACTGATTGGATGTCTGGGCTACTATCAGATTTGCCCATCTCTGATTATTTCCTAGTCCTATCTACTTGCAGAAAGAACTTGAAAGATTCAAATGGAATCTAAGAGAGCCCATTCCTGCTGGAAATGGGAAAGGAAGTATGACTCCCTGAGGCTCTTCGCTTGCATGTGTCTACCTTTATACAGGATGGCTGAGCTCTTCCTTCTTGCCTATCTTTTCCCCAGAACTGTTTCCAGCCCCAATTCTCAGAGCTGTACCCTCAGCTGAACCCCAAACAGGAGGCCCGGTGACCCTGAGCTGTCAGACAAAGTTGCCCCTGCAGAGGTCATCTGCCCGCCTCCTCTTCTCCTTCTACAAGGATGGGAGGACAGTGAGAAGCAGGGGCCTCTCCTCAGAATTCCAGATCCCCACAGCTTCAGAAGATCACTCTGGGTCATACTGGTGTGAGGCAACCACTGAGGACAACCAAGTTTGGAAACAGAGCCCGCAGCTAGAAATCAGAGTGCAGGGTGAGTTCTCATCAGAGTGTAGGGTGTCTGGTGTGTGTGTGAGTGAAAAGGGGGGATAGGATGAATGGGCCCATAAGCTGGGGTTCAGTGTGAACACGTTAAGGAGGGACACAGAGGAGGCAGGAACAATGAGCCAGAATCCCTGATGATGAGAAACAGCACAAATAGAGAACTTCTCCCTCAGGCTGTGGTGCATACCTCGCCAGACCAAGAGCTGAGGCAGCTCCATATCCACTACCCCACAAGTGTTAGGATCCCCCCATGCTCTCTGGGCATTTATAGGAATTTAATATCTAGAATGAAGATGGAGTAGTCTGAAGTCTATGTTCAATTCTGGGAGCCGCTGTTAAAATACTCCCAGAGGAGGTGACCAGGGTGATAAGGGGGCTTGAAGTCATGTCATATGAAATATAATGGAAGGGGCTGGAGATGCTATCCTGGAGAGGAGGTGACTCAAAGGCCAGCAGAGGTGTCCTCAAAAAATCGAAGGCTGGCATAAGCACAGGGAATTAGATTAATGTCATAAATAATAAAGAAGCTGACCTAGAACCAGTTACCACATTCATGCTTCAGGGAATTAGATTCAGCCTTGATAGAGAAAGAACTGGCTAATAGTTCTAGCTGTTCAATGATGAGACCTCACTGCTGAAGAATTTCAAACAGCGATGGCCAAGCTTGAGATTAAAATTTGGACCAGGAGGGACACTAGCGTCCTCAAGTACCTACTGTCATTTGGCTCCACAGCCACTTTCAGAGAACAAGAAAGATTGCCAGGGATAGGAGGGAAGGGCCAGAGTCAGACTTCACTCTTATATGTGCCTCCTGCCGGGTAATCCAGGTCCCCTCGCCTCTGCTGCACCTCCCACCTCAAATCCAGCTCCTCAGAAATCAGCTGCTCCGGGAACTGCTCCTGTGGAGCCCCCTGGGCCTCTGCCTCCACCGCCAGCTCCATCTTCTGAAGATCCAGACTTCTCTTCTCCTCTGGGGATGCCAGATCCCCATCTGTATCACCAGATGGGCCTTCTTCTCAAACACATGCAGGATGTGAGAGTTCTCCTCGGTCACCTGGTCATGGAGTTGAGGGAATTATCTGGCCACCACAAGCCTGGGACCACGAAGGCTACTGCTGAACAGAAGTAAACTATTCACCCATGATCCTGCTTAACCACCCCAACAAATCCAATTCTTTCTATTTTTTCTCTTCCTGTCCTGCACACATGCATACGTACTTTTACAAGTTGTCCCATTGTCTTGTTAGAATAATGTAGATAGGTGAGTGTAAATAAATTTGTATAAAGTAAGAATTGGAGTTTAGCTATAATTGTGTATTCTCTCTTAACATAACAGAATTCTGCTCTTTACATCAGGAATTTCTGTTATGCAGACCAGAATTTTGTGATTTAAAGAGAACTAATGGAGGTGGATTTAATGCAGCAGTCTCAACTGGGGGCAATTTTGCCCCCCAGAGGACATTGGGCAATGTTTGGAGACATTTTGCTCATCATAATTGGGGGGTTGTGGGGTGCTGGGATGTGTGCGCTGCTGGCATCTAGTAAGCAGAAGCCAGGGATGCTGCTAATCTCCTGTGATGCATAGGACAGCACTTCACAACGAAAGATAATCTGTCCCAAAATGTCAGTTGTACTGAGTTTGAGAAACCCCAGCCTATGAAACCCTAGATGCTGGACTCCAGCGTGGGACTTTGCCCGTTGTAATTATTATCTCCTTCCGCCTCGTTCAGCTAGTCTCATTGATGTACTAGTCTTTGGTGGGCACTGTGGGCTGTGCTTTAGTTTAAGTTTGTGTCCCCTCAAAAGCTGTATGCTGAAATCCTAATCCCCAAGGTGACGGCATTAAGAAGTGGGCCTTTGAGAAGTAATTAGATCAGGAGGGCAGAGGCTTATGATTAGGATTAGTGCCCTTATTTAGAAAACGCCCCAGAGAGCTAACGAACACTTCCACCACATGAGGACACATGGCAAGAAGGTGATGCATATGAGGACCAAAAAACAGCTGTCACCAAACATGGAATCTGTTGTCGTCTTGATCTTGAACTTCCAGTCTCTAGAACTGTGAAAAATAAATTTTTGTTGTTTATAAGCTCTGCGGTTCGTGATATTTTGTTATAGCAGCCCAAATGGACTAAGGCAGTTGGCTCTGCTACATGGCTGAGTTGATGAGATGTTAAAAATACTCATAAGACAGTATGTCTGTCTGGAGAGCATTTACACTGTGGGATAGAAGGGAGTAGTAGCCCTTCCTATAACAAGGGTATATAAAAATTCCCTACAGGATCCTACTGTGCTCAGAAATAAGTGACTGAGTATAATGTTGCCAGAGTCACAGATATTTGTTTTTAATTCATTTGTCTCTGAAATATTTTTCTTGAATAACATATAATAACTCTATTTTAGTCTCTTATTAATATTTTTTTCTATGCTTGGACTTCTATTGTACATTCTCAGCCAATGAGAGCTGGCCTGGCAGACTTATAGTAACCTTAATGAGTTAGCACATCATTTTATAATAACCTCAGCTAATGCCTGTTCTACCATGTTATTCTGAATTACAAGGTGTGATTTTCTCCAATGTGGACTTTCTTTGTGCCATTTATTCTGTGCGGTTTTAACCCAAAATCATTTATGAAAGACATGCACATGATCATTCTAGACATACTACAAATAAACAAAGACATAGAATCATGCTGATAGCAAAATGAGAGTTTTATGATCATTGTTCTTAGTCTCTTCGAGGGAACAAAAAAAGATCAGGAAGCATCTGAGAATTGGTAGAAATCTGTAAACATCACTACAGCCTGAGAGGACTAATTTACAATTGTATGAATGGAAGTTGCAAGAGTGACCAGAACTGTCATAACTTCGGTGGACTTGAAAAAATGGAAGCTCAGTTGCCAAAGTATCATGCTGGATGTAACTCCAAAAATACTATGTTATAACCACTCTACTTGGAGTTGATTTAAGCTAATGCTCCCATTTGTATGAATGCATCCTTCAAGCTCCTGCTAAACAGGGAATTCATTTATAGATAGTGGAAGGTATCAAAGATCTGGGAAGGAAAAGATGGAAGCAGCTGGCTGAGATAAATGTCATCTCTGGGCCAGGCGCAGTGGCTCAAGCCTGTAATCCCAGCACTTTGGGAGGCCGAGGCGGGTGGTTCACGAGGTCAAGAGATCAAGACCATCCTGGTCAACATGGTGAAACCCCATCTCTACTAAAAATACAAAAAAAATTAGCTGGGCATGGTGGTGCGTGCCTGTAATCCCAGCTACTCAGGAGGCTGAGGCAGGAGAATTGCCTGAACCCAGGAGGTGGAGGTTGCGGTGAGCCGAGATCGCGCCATTACACTCCAGCCTGGGTAACAAGAGCGAAACTCCATCTGAAAAAAAAAAAAAAGGCATCTCTGTACTCCTCATCTATGTGTATGTGCTCCCCTCTATCATCACACTGCATTTTAATTTTTTATTACTTATTTTGCTTCACCAGAGGGTGAGATCTTTGAATACTCCTGAGCTCTTTGTTCCTGGTTGTGTCGTTGACATCTAGTTTAATAGGCACATGTAAGTTCTCAGTAAATTTTGTTTAGTTAAATCAAGTTGGGCCAGCAAAATAAGGGAAAGCATCTTGAAGAGGATGGGAATGAAGCTGGACTTTAAAGGATGATGAGTGTTATATCTGGCATCAGCAAAATCTCTAGACTCTATCCAGGGGACCCAGCCTCATTCAAGGACTTAGAAACTTCAGAGGCCGGGCGTAGTGGCTCATGCCTGTAATCCCAGCACTTTGGGAGGCCAAGGTGGGTGGATCTCTAGGTCAAGAGATCGAAACCATCCTGGCCAAGATGGTGAAACTCGTCTCTACTAAAAAGATATAAAAATTAGCTGGGTGTGATCACGCACCTGTAATCCCAGCTACTCGGGAGGCTGAGGCAGGAGAATTGCTTGAACCTGGGAGGTGGAGGTTGCAGTGAGCCAAAATCAGGCCACTGTACTCCAGCCTGGTGCCTGGCGACAGAGCAAGACTCTGTCTCAAAAAAAGAAACTGCAGGAGAGAATCTTCTATCAAAAAGAATGAGGGAGAAACAGAGTATAAAAGGGCATTGTGGAGGGGACTCAAGATGGCACTGTGAGAACAACCCAGGATTGGAGCCCGCGTTGAATTCGCAAACGGTGAGTCAGTGCTACATTTCCAGACTGATCTTTGTTGCCCACAGAACGGGGAAACTCCCAAGTATAAAAAGACACGGGACGCCAGGCAGTAGGTCTGCCTGGCGAAGCCGGCAGCCGGGGCGGCGGCGGCCGGCCCCACCCAGCAATCCCCACAGGGCGCGCTTGTCCGGGTGCCTTGTTGAACCGGCAACCTGAGACTTGAGAGGGCTGGACTTGAGACTGAACGAGACTTGCACAGTAGCCCAGCCCAGGGGATTGCAGGGACAGATCGCTTGGGATACCCAGTGGGAGGAACAAAATCGCGATTTCAAACTATCCCGGGCAGTCGGTCCGAGACGCTCTGTGGGGGAGGGGCGTCCACCACTACGGAGGCAACCTGCCCCAACTGATATACACGCCCACTGCTGAGGCAGCCAGCCGTTGCCGAGGCAACCCGCCCCAACTGAGATACACGCCCACTGCTGACGCAGCCAGCCGTTGCCGAGGCAACCCGTCCCTACTGAGATACACGCCCACTGCTGACGCAGCCTGCCGTTGCTGAGGCAACACGCTACAACGAAGAGACTCCGCTGCAGGGCGAGGCAGAGACAACAGCAGAGCCGGCAGGAACAGCGCGAATCACACAACAGCAGGGCGGAGCCTCGGCAGCCAAACAGTGGCTAGTCTGCCTTCGAGCTGGGCAGGACACCTGATCGGACATCCAAAAATAAAGCCCAAACCCCTCAACACAGAGCATTTGAGAAAAAAAAAAAAGGGTTGTTTAATGAGCTGTGTTGCAGCAGAATCAAACATAGCAGCCTAACAGCCCTGAATGAACAACAGAGTACACAGCTCAGCAATTAAACCCCTATAAAGTACAAACTGTCTCCTCAAGCAGCTCCCTGACCCCTTTATATCCAAAAGACTGTCATTAGGCAGGCATCATCCTGGGACAAAGAGAGCAGAAAAAGAAACTGGTAGCATCCCTCGCTGTGCCACGGCTACTAGAGGTGCACCCCAGACAAGCAGGGTCTGGAGCGGACCTCAACAGTCGTACAGCGAAGGGGCTAGACTGGTAGAAGGAAAACCAAGCAACAGAAATACTTCATCATCAACATTCTGGGTGTCCACTCAGAGACCCAAACGAAAAGTCAGCAACTACGCAGACGACCAGCGGACAAATCCACAAAGATGGGAAGAAACCAGCGCAAAAAGGAGGAAAACACCCGAAACCAGAACACATCGCCTCCTAGAAAGGACCAAGACTCCTCACCAGCAAGGGAACAAAGCTGGACGGAGAATGACTGTGACAAAATGACGGAATTAGACTTCAGAAGATGGATAATGAGAAACTTTTGTGAGCTAAAAGATCATGTATTAAATCAATGCAAAGAAACTAAGAACCTTGAAAAAAGATTTGAAAAAAGATTCGAGGAAATGATAACAAGAATGGATAACTTAGAGAGGGATATGAATGAATTAAAGGAGCTGAAAAACACAATACGAGAACTTCGCGAAGCAAACGCAAGTTTCAATAGCCAAATTGACCAAGCAGAAGAAAGAATATCTGAAGTTGAAGACCAACTCAATGAAATAAAACGAGAAACCAAGATCAGAGAAAAAAGCGCAAAAAGGAATGAACAAAGTCTCCAAGAAATGTGGGACTATGTGAAAAGACCTAACCTACGTTTGATAGGTGTACCAGAAGGGGACGAAGAGAATGAATCCCAGCTGGAAAATACTCTTCAGGACATCATCCAGGAAAATTTCCCCCACCTAGCAAGACAAGCCAACACTCAATTGCAGGAAATACAGAGAACACCACAAAGATATTCCGCAAGAAGAGCAACCCCAAGGCACATAATCGTCAGATTCAACAGGGTTGAAATAAAGGAGAGAATACTAAGGGCAGCCAGAGAGAAAGGTCGGGTCACCCACAAAGGGAAGCCCATCAGACTCACAGCAGATCTCTCGGCAGAAACACTACAAGCCAGAAGAGAGTGGGGGCCAATATTCAACATTCTTAAAGAAAAGAACTTTCAACCCAGAATTTCATATCCAGCCAAACTGAGCTTCAGAAATGAAGGAAGAATAAAATCCTTTGCGAACAAGCAAGTACTCAGAGATTTTGTCACCACCAGGCCTGCTTTACAAGAGCTCCTAAAAGAGGCACTACACATAGAAAGGATCAAGCAGTACCAGCCATTCCAAAATCACACTGAATGCTAAAGAGCTTCAACATAATGAAGAATCTACAACAACTAACAGGCAAAACAGCCACTTAGAATCAAAATGGCAGTATCAAATTCACACATAACAATATTAACCCTAAATGTAAATGGACTAAATGCACCAATCAAAAGACACAGACTGGCAAATTGGATAAAAATCCAAAACCCATCAGTGTGCTGTATCCAGGAAACCCATCTCACATGCAAGGATACACAAAGGCTCAAAATAAAGGGATGGAGGAAGATTTACCAAGCTAATGGAAAGCAAAAAAAAGCAGGAGTTGCAATTCTCATCTCTGATAAAATAGACTTTAAAGCAACAAAGATCAAAAGAGACAAAGAAGGCCATTACATAATGGTAAAAGGATCGATACAACAAGAAGAGCTAACGATCCTAAACATATATGGACCCAACACAGGAGCACCCAGATACATAAGGCAAGTTCTTAATGGCTTACAGAAGGACTTAGACTCCCACACAATAATAGTGGGAGACTTTAACACTCCACTGTCAATACTAGACAGATCAACCAGACAGAAAATCAACAAGGATACCCAGGGCTTGAACTCAGACCTGGAGCAAGCAAACCTGGTGGACATTTACAGAACTCTCCACCCCAAATCCACAGAATACACATTCTTCTCAGCACCACATCACACCTACTCTAAAATTGACCACATAATTGGAAGTAAAGCACTGCTCAACA